CTTCATCCCACCCCACTGTGACCTCTGACACCTCTCCGGGTGGCACCAATATCCCCAACATTGAGAAAGTTGGGTGGTGGGTGCGCCGTGTTCCTGAGGTCTGCCCCGCCCAGTGTCCCCCGCGATTTCCCGCATCAGGAGGGCCGGAGGGAGGGGGCGTGGTGCTTGTCCTCGGGATTTATGAGAATAAGAGCCGACTTTCCCGTTGCGACATCTAGGCCTCCTCGAGGCTCCCATTGTCCCGCAACGGAGGGTCTGGCGATGGCCCCCGCAGAGTGCCCGTCACCGAGGGGCGTCCCGAGGGCGTCCAAGTCCTGTACACCCCACCACGCAGTACACCCACCTGGCCCCACCCGCCACATCCCCGCAGCCACTACCCCGGGTTCCGGGGGTCGCCCCCGCGCCGAGGGGATTCCAGCGCCTGGCCTGGAGCTGGCTCCGCGACACGCGGACCCCCACCCCAGATGGGCGGCTCAGGGCCCGTTCCTAATGCCTCTGGACCCCAGGGCCAGTCTCGGCCCCACAGTCGCCGAGAGAAGGCGAGCTTCGGCCGCAGACGCTGCTCGGGCTCCGCGGAGGGCGGGGGGCGCGGCCGGGGCGGGGCCGGCGCGGCGCGAGGCGAGCGGGGGGGGCTCGCGGCGGGGCGGGGGCGGGCGGAGGCGCGCGCGGCGCGGCGGGGTCGGGAGGGGGAGAGGCGGGGCGCGCGCCGTGCGGGGCTGGGCTCGGAGCGCGCGGGGCTCCGCGGCAGGAGAGCCGCGCGGGGGCCGCGCCAGGACCGCGAGGAGGGCACGAGCCTCGGGGGTTGTGGACGCGCGAGGGAGCAGTCGCCGCCGCCGCCGGCTCCCGACTGGAGGAACCTCAGCCAGCCGCGGGCCATGAGCCGCCGGGCCCCGGGAACCCGGCTGCGGTCGGGGCAGCGCTCCTCCGGCGCCCCGGCCCGCGCGGCCGCAGCTGCGCGCCTGTAGGTATGGCCTGCTCGTCCTCAGTTCTCCGTCCTCCGGTCCCTCACGCCGGACCCGGTCCGTCCCGGAGGACATGCGTGTGTGCGCGCACCGCTGCCCCGGGGAGAGCGGCCGCACGCGCCCTGGTCCGCGCGTGTCGTCTTTGTGTGCGCGGGTGGGAGGGAGGAGAGTGAGCGAGAGACGGGATGCTTCCCTGGCTGGGATCGGCTCCCGGGCCCCCTCTCTGGAGGGGCGGGGAGTGGCTGGAGGGGCCGAGCTGCCTCCGTAGCAGCTGCACTCCCGCACCGTGGGGCGAGCGCCGCGGGCCCCCTGGAGAAGGGGTCTCTGGCTTGGGGAGGGGTCGCCCACGTCTCTTCCCTAGGCTGGGTTGGTCAACCTAGAATGAGAGTGAGGGCCACCGCGGGGGGCGGGGCGGGAAGGACCCCATTCGGGCCACAGACCCTGGGCTGGCACGCCCTCCGTTTGGCCCAGGCCCCCTTTCTCGACCCGCCCACCCGGGGAGCTCCCCTGCAGCCTCAGATAGTGGGGAGGATCGCTGTGGGTGCCCGAGAGGCCGGCGCCTTTAAGAAGAGGCGGTTCGTGCCCTCCATTCAGGCCCTTCGGCCTCGCCATTGATGAACCTGCGGGCATTGATGAACGTAGCGAGGCCGGAACCGCGCCAGCCCAGCGGGCTGAAACTAGGCAGAGTCAGGGGACCCACCGGCGCCCCACATCCCCGAAGTGGGGCCTTCAGGAAGAGAAGTCTGCAGTGTCTGGGGCTCTCAGGAGCCAAGCAAGGCAGACCCGGCAGCCTCAGGCGAGACCGTGAACATGAATAACCCCTGATCTACGTTCACATCGAGTCGGTGCAGGGCAGAGCCTCAGGGTGGCTGTCAGACCTGGGTTGATTCCTACCAATGCTCTTTGAGACATTATCTACCCTGTAAAGTCGGGCTGGTGCTGCCTGCCTCTTAGCTGGGGGACTGGCAAGAGTTGCCTCCCTCCAACTCGGGTCCCGGAGCCGGAGTGCGTGAACTCCTCTGGGCGGGCGGGGCAGGGAGGGCGGAGGGGCGTGGTTTCCCCTAGAGACTTCGGCTGTTTCTTGATCTGAATGAAGCCCCCCTCCTCTGCCCCACCTTGAACAAATCTCTTCCCTCCTGCCCCCCTGCTTCATGCAGGAAGCCACTAATTTGGGGAGTGACCCAGAACTTTTCAAAACTCCAGGAACTTTGTTTGGAAGAGGTCTGGCAGCCACTGTGGCAATACTTTTAGGCTACCTTCAATCACATTTATGGAGATCTCTGAGGCAGAATTTCCCACCAGCTGCTTCCTTCTACTCTTCTCCCTAGAATTCTGTCCCACCAATGTCCAGGAGTACCGCCACCACCTGGAGGGTGTGAATGCAGGTGCTTCTTATGCTGCTTAGTTGAAAGTTTCTAGGTCATGGAAGGTTAATGCACATGCTTTAATTCTTATCCTTGTTGTGGAAAACCTGCCTACACTTTCTAAACTCCTCCTCCCTACATAACGTGGGTCTCCTAGGGAGAACTCCTGAACACCACCACCACCACCACCACCACCCATGGGCTTCCCTTCAGGGTGTTGGAAGTGGGGCCCCCACCCTGGTGGAGCCTAGGCCTCCCAGGGGTGAGCATTCAGTTTCAACTTGACTCGTGCCAGGCAACAGCCATCAGTGTCGTTTGCCATGTGATCTTCACAACAACCCTGTGGATTTGGCACTATTATTACCCCATTTTATAGAGGAGGAAACAAATATAGGCATGTGAAATGACTTGCCCAGTGTCCCTCAGCCAACGAGCCAGGGCTCTAAACCATTTCTCTCTGGCAAGAGCCTGGGTCTTACTCCTTGTACTGTCTGCCCAGCCTGGGTTGTAGGGAATTAGGGGGTTAAGTGCCTCTGGCCTCCTGGCTGCTGTCCCCATGGGGTTATGGTTCAGTCTTGCAGCCTGTTGATTCACACCGTCCATGTGGGGCCAGAGGGGCCTGGGGTGGTTTCTCTTCCTCGCTCACCTGGTTGGGTCTGTTTTTGTGGTGTCCCAGGGGATAGCAGGTGTGACTCCTCAACATTCGGCCACAGCCCACACTGTTTGGGCAGAGCAGGCTAGGCATCGCTGTGTGGGAGCACAGCATCTTTTGGTTCCTCTAGGTGAAGCGGGGTTTGTGTTCCATTCTCCAGACATTTCCAACCCTCTGAGGACAGGGGAGCCAGCCAGAGGCTCACAGTCTGGTGACAGGCCATAGCCATGTGGTATAGTGGAGGGGCAGGGGGCAAGGGCGGAGGTGGGGACAGGATAAAGAAGGGGCATTTCCAAGGCCTCCACAGGCTTGGGGCCTGCCAGCTATTGAAGCAGAGGAGTGGCAATGGGTGGGGCAATGCTGGGCTAGATGCTGGGACTCTGAGCAGAGGACAAGCAGGGGTTGGAGGAAGAGGATGTATTAGAACTTGGATGTGGTAAGTGAGGTAGCTGGAGATCAGCCAGGCTGGGAGTTGAGGAGCTCAAAGAAAGGCCCAGGGACCCTTATGTGCCTGCAGTCCCCAGAGTTCTGGGATGCTCAGAGATGAAGGCAGCCATCGGAGTTCTCAGTAAGAAGTCACTGCTATGTGTGTCATGAAGAAGCTGGAAGGCAGACTGGTAAGCTAAGTGGTAGGGATCAAGGGGGGCACATCCTGCAGTTTTGGGGGCCTGGGCCAGACCCAAGTGAGGTCCATGACATTGGGATAGAAGAGGCAAAGAGGCTCAGACCAAGGCTGGTGAGGGGGCCCCTCTATTCTGCAACCCCAGGAGGGCAGGGTAGGGTGGGAGAAAGCAGAACCAATGTCGCTGGAGCCAGCCCAGCCTGCTCTCCACCTACAGAGCCCATCCAGGAACTGTCCAGCACTGGCTGCTCCTGAAGGAGGATGGGCCTACCTCCTGAGCCCCCAGGCCCTGGCTTAGCTGGTTGCCCTGACCCCCACTCCCTGCTCATCTGACCCCTACTTCCTGCAGAGCCCAGCTCTGGGTTCCCCTGCCCCCCCAGTCCCTCAGAGTGCCCCCCCTCTAAAGGTGGGCACCTCCTTTCCTGAAGCAGGGACTGGGTCCCCCCACTGTACCCTTGGAGGGGAAGCTCCCCAAGAACAGGTCCCTGCTGGGAGTGGCATATGCTTCAGAAAGGGACAGATCTGGAACATGGCTGCAGGTGGGTCCAGGTTCTGCTGCCCTGGACCTGATGGTCATAAGGGGTCACAAGGGGCCTGATGCAGTGTGGGCGCCAGTGCAAATCCAGTGGATGATGGGCTAGTTGCCTCCCTTGCCAGAACCCCACTTCTTCATCTGTATGGCAGAGAATCCTCTCTTCCTTACGGGAAAGACGTGAAGGGAGAGAGGTTTTAAACAGGGGCATGACCCAGTTAGATGTGGGTTCCAGAAAGCTGACCTTGGCCATACTGTGGAGCCTGGGTTCGTGTGCTGGGGGGAAGGAGGGGTTCTGTAGCCGTCTGCCCAGAGCAGTCAGAGGAAAAGAGGGAATGGACACAAGATACTTAGGAAATAGAAGCAGAGGAGCTTTAATTTTTCAGCAAACTACTTATTTAGTCTTCATGACAGCTCTGTGAGGTTGATGCTGCTCTAACCAGATAGGGAAACTGAGGCTTCAGGAGGCCAAGAGGTCACACAGCTAGGAAGCAGGGGAGCTGGGATTCAAACCCAGACATTCTGGCTCCAGATCTCAGGCTTTTAACCACTCCACTGTCCCATCGTGTGAAATGACCAGATGTGGACGTAGGAAGATGCCAAGGCAGTGGAGTCCCCTGTGATGGGGAGCAACTGTCAGCTGCAGCTTGGGGGGCCCCTGGGACTGAGGTTCTGCAGGCCCCAGAGCCAGAAGGGCTTCTTGTCAAGGTTGGGGTGTCAGTAAAAGCGAGGGGCTAAGCAGCAGGGCTCCCACCCTCCCGTGGTGGCAATGGCTGAGAGTTATGTGAGAGGCACAAGGATGTCCTGTATGGAACAACAGCCATGGAAACTGATGCTCAGAAAAGCCAAGAAAACTGAGTGTCCCACCCTCCCACCCATACAGGGGCATAGGTCCCAAAGGCTCTTAATCCACACTGTCCCTGTCACCAGTCAGAGTCCCCCCACCGCCACTCTGCAGCAAAGTCCCAGTAGATGCAAAGGTGTTAAGACCAGAAATCATGCGCACTTCTGCCTTCTGTCAGGGTCGTGGGGTGAGGACAGATATTCTGGGTGGGAAGGGCTGGGAAATTCCAGCCACATCCTCGCTCTGGCAGGAGGCCCTGGTTCAGAGCCTGCCTTGTGGGGACTTGGTCTCCAGGGAGGTGGGGAGCAGGGCGGACCTGAGAACAACGCCCACATACCCAGCAGTGAAACAGAATGTGCCCTGTGTGTTCTGTCCCTTCATCCTCAGGGGAGAGGAAGAGTAGTACCCAGTCAGCCAGAGGAAGTCACTCCAGGCTGGAGGGATGGCCTGCCCAAAGGTTGTCTTTGTCCTGTATAGGGAGGGGTGGAAAGGACTTCCCCACAAAGGCCAGGGGGGCGGCTGGAGGGAGTGTAGGATGGGAGGAGACTTTGTTGTAAAGTGTGAGGCTGGTGGGCCACGCCAGGCCAGTGCTGCTAGGGGCCTGAGGAGCCAGGAGGGTAGAGGACATGAGCAGCCATGGTTGGGCCTGCTTGCCAGAGGGTGGAGGAGACCGGAGGGAGGCTTTGTCTCCGGATCTTTTGTTCTGGGGCCCTAATGCAAGTGTCTCAGTTTCTCCATTGTGAATGGTTCACTAGCGGTGGGCCACGCTGGCCACCCCAGCCCAGAACAGAGGACCCTTAGTTGTGATCATCGCCCCTGCTCTCGCTTGGCTGTCTGGGTGCTGCTCTGAGGATGGAGCTGAGGGAGGGTGCAGGAAGAAGGGGGCATCTTGGCTGGGGGGATGGCTGCTGCCTGCGCTCTGCCTGGGCAGCCTTTCAGGGTGCTGGGTCGCTTGTCTGGGCTGCGAGACCCACAGACAGTCCTTTCTCTCCCAGGGGCTCCGCAGCCTCCTGTGGTGAGGAGGGTGCAGGGGGTGCCCGGCTGGCTGTGGGCGGGGCTCGATCGTCGCTCCGCCCCCAGGGCCGCTGCCCACTGCGGGGCGCATCGATTGGTCGTTGGCCCATTAGCCAGAGGCGGCGAGACGAACTCATCAATATTTTAAGGAATGACCTGGCTATGGGGTCCGGAACTGTGCGCTGGTGAGGGCTGGAGACCTGCCGGTTTTTTGCCATCTCCAATTGTCAGTGCTATTTTTACCACCGGAAAGCCGGCTGCCCCCTCCCCCTGCCGAGCCTGCATCAGCTGGACCACGTCTAGCTGGGTTGGGGGCGGGGGTCTCCCGCCTGGGTTCCTGGCCATGGGGTAAAGGGAGGCCATAGCTTGGAAAGGAGATGAGCAGGGACTTGACTAGGCTTGCCCTGCCCTCCCTCCATCCCCTGCACCGACCATCTGAAGCCCCATCCAATCTGAGATGAGAACAAAAACATTTTTCAGGAGAAGCCAGTTGCCCAGCTGAGCCTAGAAAAACCAGGGGCTGATGAATTGGGGGACGGTGGTCTGCCCACCCAGTGCCCCATGGGGGGCCAGCAGCATAGGGGACCCAGCTGGGCTCCCTTTGTCTCCAACCCCAGTCCTCAAGAAAAGTCTAGGGAGGTGTGAAACAACCCCTTACCTGGCCCTGATCCCAGTGGGGTGACAGCAGAGTCCCCAGCTTCAGTGTCCATGGGCCATCACTACAGCATCAAAATAGGGGGCCACTGCTCCAGCACCCCCTTTCCCTGATGGGGAAGCTGAGGCCCCAGGAGACACAGGGGCCAAGATAGATCTCCCAGTGCCCAGTCCAGCACTACCCCACACTGACTCAGTTGGTCTTTGCTGGCACCCTGGGACCATAGGGACAGAAATGGGACCCTGACCACAGAAACAAGGGAGTCAAGGGGTGCAGAGACAATAGGAGCTTAGGAAGATGGGGGGCGGTGCAGGGGAAGGCTCCTGGAAGAAGAGAGAGTTTTACACAGTCTAAAGGCCGAGGAGGACGGAGTAAGGCAGTGCAGGCAGAAGAGTGGTCCGGAGAGGTTGGGATGTGGGAACTCCCAAGGAGACGGGAGAGCCCAGGGCTGCCTGGGCAGTGGGGGGAGGGGCGAGGTGGGCCACCCAGCTTCAGGCCTCTGGGTTCCCCTCCCCCTCAGGCCCTACTTTTCTTCCATCTGGATCTGAGGTCACTTGCACAATGACAGAGGGCTCTGTCTGATTGATTGAATGTCACACTGCCTGGTCCCTAGAGAGGGCTGGAAACACCTCCTGGCCCCACCCAGAGGTTAGGGAAGCCCCAGCCCTGCCCATGACTGCACATGGATTATAGCATTGCAGGGACCACTGCCTGTGCCATCCTTACAGGGAAGGGCAGCCTCTCTTTTCCATTAAAGTGAGCAAAGTGAGGCTAGGGGTGTGGTCAGTGTCACTCAGGGAACAGTGGGGTCAAGCCTTGAGCCCAAGTCAGCTGAGGTCCCTGTACCTGGTCTCCTCCCCAGTTACGGTCTCAAGGGCAGTTAGTGATGGCACATCCCTGCCCCTGCCATAGTGAGGCACTCTTCCTTGTGGCTTGCAGCCTCCCCTCTGCAGAGAGCCATGTCTGGGCTTCCTCTCCCTGCTGGCCCTGCTGCTTGGTGACTTTGGCCTCTGGCTAGTCAACCCCTCCTGCTTCTGTGTAGCCTGGATTGGTCCCAGGGGACACAGGGCTGCTGTGCCAGGCATCGGCCCACAGGCTCCTAGCCAGCCTTCAGGGCAGGGCAGAGCAGGGCAGCCTAACCTCCTACTGCCTCCCAAGCCAGTCCCTGCCTAGCACGTGGCCACATACATCTCCCATACCCTTGGCAGATTCCTCTCTGAGTTCTACCCCCACTTCCAGTGAGGGCTAGTTGGAACCCACCTCACAAGCCTGCCCCAGGGCCTTGTCCCCCAACTCTGTGGCTTCCCCCTGCCAAGGGTTTTGCCAGCCGGTGGGAAGAGCTGGGAGAGACAGAGATTGATGCCTGAGAACCCTGAACTGGGGCTGACTTCCTGCCCACCCCACATGGGCCATAATTATCTCAAATAGGCACATCTAGCCTTCCCAGGCTACCATGTCACCTGCTCTGCCACCCCCACCCCCGTTGGTCCCAGTAGTACAGGAAAGAGATGGCCCTGGGGAGCACTGGCCTGCTGGATAAATGGATGGGCGCAGGAACAGGGCCTCCTGGGCTCAGCTGCAGCCCCACCCCCACCACAGGAAATGCCACCCCCAAGGGTCAGACCAAGGCCTCAGCCTGGGCTCACTACCATCCCTGGAGGCCGTGGTAGTGGTGGCAGGTGCATTCCTGCCTTCCCAGGGGATGGAGCAAGTACCAGGAGCCTGGGATATGACTCAGGCCTGCCTTCTGTCCCTGAGGACTGCCTATGCCAGATGGGGAGAGAGACATGGAAACAGACACTTGGAGCACCCTACAGCTGGCACAGTGCTAAAAGGACATACTGGAGGGGACTGTAGGAGCTCAGAGGAGACACTTGTGCCAGCCTGGGTTGGGGGGACAGGGGTGGTAGTGTCAGGGAAGGCTTCCTGGAGGAGGTGACTTCTGGATTAGTTATTGAAGGATGATTAGGAGTTAGCCAGATGAAAAAGGAAAAACAGGGCAGGAAAAAGACCAGGTATGAGCCTCAGCCCCCAGTCTACCCCAACCATCATGGACTCTGAACACCACCACCACCCCACTCCCAATGTTCTGATAAGTCCTGCCTCCAAGTCTCTGCTCAAAAGGCCTGCAGTGCCCTCCTCGCCCTCTTTGCAGGCATGAAGCCCAATGCAGGCCCCACCTCTTGAAGGAAACCTTCCTAACTCCCTGCTCCCCTCCCCCCAGTACCAAGGCAGGAGGCTCCCAGGAGACCACTAGTTTGGAAACCTGTCCAGGTGCTAAGTGGCTCCGTCAGGAGGCCCTGCTTCCTCCCTGGGGCTGTCCTGTGGTTATCGACTGCAGGTCGATGGCCAAGGCTGCCCCAAGGAGAGAGGGAATTCCCACAGTGCCCTATGGCCCAGAGGCCCTGAAAATGATCTCATAGAAGTAGGGCAGCTATTTTTACCTGGCATTTAATTACAGGGTTTCGATCCCAGAGGAGAGACGAGATGGTGCTCCCGGCAGCTGCCAGGGAGGGGCATGCCGGGAACTGAGGATCCTGGGAGGGCAGGTGAGGGCATGACCCTCCATCGCAGTTCCTCGAAAGGGCAGTCCCTTATCCCTAACACTAGGCTGGCCCCCTCAGACAGGGACTCCCCAGGGCAGGGCCACATCACCCCACTTATTTGCCTTGGTAATGTTCACTATGGCCTGGACAGAGGGGTGAATGTGCACTGTGGGCTGGGCCTGTGCCCCTAGGGCTGATGGCCACATTGGTGAACAAGCAAGCAAGGCCCCCAGGCAATTGACTGGACCCACACCCCATAGTTTAGTGCTCCAGGGTGGTGAAGGATAGAAAGGCCTGGAACAAGGAGGAGGAAGCTGGGGTGAGTAGACAGCTGGGGTTCCTGGATCACGGCCTCTTCAAGGTTGGACTTGGACAGGAACTCTGAAGGGAACAGGATTCCGGAATTCGAGAATGCCAGTAGAAGCGTGCAGGCCACTATGGTGGAAAGAAGTAAGAAGTCTTGAGGTGGCAGGGCCTTCAAACAAAGCTGGCACAAAAAAATTGGCCATGCTTGTTGTAGACACCAGGTCCCTAAAGGCAAGAAAAAACATGGCCACACAGTAACCCCTCCTTATCTGAGGCTTTGCTTTCTGAGGTTTCAGTTACCTGTGGAAAACTGAGGCCTCAAAATATTAAATAGAAAATTCCAGAAGTAAACATTCATAAGTTTTAAATTGCACACCGTTCTGAGTAGTGAGATGAAATCTTACACCATCCCACTCCTTCGTGCCTGGGATATGAATCATCCCTTTGTCCAGTGTATCCACGCTGTGTGTGCCACCTGCCCATTAGTCACTTAGGAGCTGTCTCGGTTATTAGATCAAAAATTCATAGTGGGACGGGTGTGGTGGCTCGTGCTGTGCCTGTAATCCTAGCACTTTGGGAGGGCAAGGCAGGAGGATCGCTTGAGGCCAGGAGTTCAAGACCAGCCTGGGCAACATAACAAGTTGTAGTTTCTACAATACATAGCAAAACAAAGAAATTAACCGGCATGGTGTCACATGCTTGTAGTCCTAACTACTTTTAGAAAGGCTGAAGCAGGACTGCTTGAATCCAGGAGTTCAAGGCTGCAGTGAGCCACGATTGTGCCTGCACTCCACCCTGGGCAGCAGAGCAAGACCCTGTGTCAAAAAACCCCACATTCTAGTGTATGTAGGGTTCCATACCATCTACAGTTTCAAGTATCCCCCTTGGATAAGGGGGGACTACTATATTTGATCCACACTGGGAGGTGACCCCTGAGTCCCACAGTGATGCAGACCTGGGTAAGAATCCTGAACCTGTCCTGTCACTAACAAGCTGAGTGTCCTCAGGCCTGGTATGGGGGCTTAGGCAATGACAGTTGTGACATGCCTGGTGTACTGAACACATTCACTTGTTCATTCATGCAGTCAGTGTTTCCTGAGTGTCTGCCATATGTCCAGCACTGGAGACACAGCCGTTTATAGGACTATCAAAAGCCCTGCCTTGTGAAAGTGGCATTCTCAGGGGAAGGTGGGGGCAGAGGAGGACACTCGACCAAGCAAAACTATTAATAAATATACGATATGTCAGATGGCAATAAGCACAATGGAGAAACAAGCAGGCAGAGGGCACGGAGAGTGCCAGAAGGAGCAGGGGCATCCACTATTCTCAAAAGAGTGGTCAGGGAAGGCTAGTGGATAAGACACTTGAACAGAAACCTGAAGGAGGGGAAGAAGCATGGGAGAAAGAACATTCCGGGCATGTGCAAAGGCCCTGAGGTGGTAGCTAGCATGTGCCTGGAATGGCAAGGAGGCAGTGCAGCCAGGAGAGAGTGGTAGGAGATTCGCCTGGAGAGGCAAATGGAGGCAGATTATGTCAGGCCTTGGGGGCCATGGGTAGGGCTTTGGCTTTTACTCTGAGCATAATGGATTTTGAGCAGAGGAGGGGCTTGACCTGTCTTGTGTTTTAGAAATAATGACTGAACTCCTGGGTGGAGAACAGACTTTAGGGGGATGAGGTCAAGATCCGGGGGGCCAGTAAAGAAATAGGTGAAGTACTGCAGGCAAGAGAAGGGTTATGGGGAGGCCAGGACAGCAGCCTGGATGGGGAAGGAGGAGGAGGAACTGGGCTCTTGGCATATTTCAGAGGTAGATGCAACAGGATTGCATGTGACTTTTTCCTGTCCACTCAGCTTTGGGGACTCCCAGAAGAGGTTATTGAGGGAAGTGAGTTCACTGGAGGCTCATGGGGACCCGACTTGAAGGCATCTGTCATCCCAGCCTCCTCTGCCAGCCCCAGAAATGACCCTGAAGTTCCCTGAGACTGCTGTAGGGGGAGCGAGTGAGTGCAGGGGCTCTGCACCTGCAAACACTACCTCCGGCCTCCCCAGGTGTATCTTGTCTCTCCACGCATCCACGTGGCTTGGAGGCTGCGTGCTGTTGCCCTCAACACATGCGCGCACGCAGCCCCAGGGCGTCCTTGCGGGCAGGGGAGCCAGAAGGAGAGGACAGGTGGGCGCGCTGGTCAGAGACCTGAAAGTCACTGGGCGCTTTTCTCGCCCGCAGCCGCAGGTGGCTGCGATGGGACGGGAGCCATGAATGGTGCCGCCCCCGGCCCCGCCGCAGCTGCCCCGGTGCCGGTGCCGGTCCCGGACTGGCGGCAGTTCTGCGAGCTGCACGCGCAGGCGGCCGCCGTGGACTTCGCGCACAAGTTCTGCCGCTTCCTGCGGGACAACCCGGCCTACGACACGCCCGACGCCGGGGCCTCCTTCTCCCGCCACTTTGCCACCAACTTCCTGGACGTGTTCGGCGAGGAGGTGCGCCGCGTGCTGGTGGCCGGGCGCGCCGACGCCATGGAGCCCGAGCCGGCGGAGACGCCGGCCCTCAAGGCGGCGGCCTACGGCCACTCGCGGAGCTCGGAGGACGTGTCGACGCACGCAGCGACCAAGGCCCGCGTCCGCAAGGGCTTCTCTCTGCGCAACATGAGCCTGTGCGTGGTGGACGGCGTGCGCGACATGTGGCACCGGCGCGCCTCGCCCGAGCCCGACGCTGGCGCTGCCCCGCGGGCCGCCGAGCCCCCAGCCGAGCCGCGTGACAAGTGGACGCGGCGCTTGCGACTGTCGCGGACGCTGGCGGCCAAGGTGGAGCTCGTAGACATCCAGCGCGAGGGCGCGCTGCGTTTCATGGTGGCCGACGACGCAGCCGCGGGCCCGGGGGGCGCCGCCCAGTGGCAGAAGTGCCGCCTGCTCCTGCGTAGGGCCGTCGCCGGGGAACGCTTCCGTCTCGAGTTCTTCGTGCCACCCAAGGTGAGTACCCCACCCCCAGGGGGACCGAGGAGACGCGTGGGCAGCAGCTGAGAGCACCAGGGACCCCCATGGCCCCGTCCAGTTGACAGAATGCAGTATTTGGTGCAGGAGCCTGGGACGTGGGCCCAGTGCTGCCTCTTGGACAAGTCGCCCCTTCAGGCCTGATTCTTCCTCTGTGAGTGGAAGAAAGGCCCTCTGGCTACACGGAGGGGTTCTGGGGCACTGTTGCCAGTGGTGTTGAAAAGCCGGGCGCCTGCCTGCCTTTGCTCCTCACTTGCAGCCCCAGGACAGCTAGCACCTCCCAGAGTTTGAGGCCTGCAGGGACCAGGGCAGGGAATGACGGCACACCCAGAGAGGACTCCTGGGGATGTCCGTGTCCGTGACTCCGAGGGGATCTGCACATCCCCAGCTCCGCTGTCAGGCTCCAGCCCAGCCCCTACGTGGGAGGGACACCCTGTTCTGGCCAGGGGAAAGGTTGCCTTCTTTCTGGCTGTCACCAGAGTTGCTGCTCACCTGGGTGCACCAGCCCCTCCCCCTCTTGAGGGCAGCCCCAGAGGGTCTGTCTGGGTTGGCACAGCTGCCCCGTTTGGAAGGTGGGAATGACTGTTAACAATTGGGCCTGCTTTCTGAGAGCCCACCTGTATCCAGCCCTCACCCTCCCGCTACCCTGGCAAGGTGAGCACATGGTCCCCAGGTCACAGAGTACAAACGGGGGATATGGCCTGTCCAAAGTCACACAGCTAGTGGGTGGCAGAGCTGGGCTAATTACACCCACCACCCTGGGGTCCTGCGAATGGAAGGAGCATGGAGGTGGGGGCTCCTTGGGCACTGGGGGTTGTGCTAGTGCAGCCACTGGCAGCACCCCTGGGACCACCCAGGCACCTGCCCTCTTCAGAGCCCACTCTGTCCCCAGGTGACCTCTTAGTCACTCTTAAGCCCTTGGCTCGCTCTCATCTCTGTCTGTGGATGACTCTGGGTGCCCTTCCCTGCCTCCTTTCCTGCAGGTGCAGGAGTGTGGGCTCCCCAAGGTGGAGTGCCCATGAGCCACCTGGGCCCTGGAGAGGGGACTTCCCAGGAACACATTTACTCTCTGAAGAGCTTTCTCCCCAATTGCCAGGACCCCTAGACTCTCCAAGGTATTTTTGCCTGCCCAGGGCCCCCGTTTAGGTCCCTGCAGGAGATCACAGACCAGCAAGCCCAACCCCGCTCCTTGTCAGGGAGACCGAGGCCCAGCAGGGGGTGGGGCTTGCTTGGGGTCACCCAAAGGGCAGGGGCAGAGGCAGAGGCAGAGGCCCAGGCCCAGGGCTTCACTGCCACAGCCCGAGTGGCAGTCACAGCTGCCTGTCTGTAAATAGCCACCCTGCTGCCCGAGGGGGAGGGGAGGCAGCAGCTGGTGCCCTCTCCCTTCCTCCCTACAGAGCCTGTCACCATCACCACTGGCAGAGGGCAGGGTTCTTGAGGGGTCACTGGGCCCTTCTCCTTTTGTTCATGCAAATTGGGGGTATTTTGGGGTATTCAGGAGATCTCCCGGTGGGAGGGTGGATCATTCCACGGTAAGAGCTGCAATTGTTTCCCAAATGTATCTGGTCCTGGGAAGCCCATCTCGGGTGAGCCCCACAGGGCAGCCTTGCTGGCATCCCCTGCTGTTACCCACCCACAGTCCAGATCTCCTCTCACCCTGGGAGGCCCAGCTACACCTTTGGAGCAGCCAGGAGCTTGGGATCTACTGGCTCAGGGGCCATTTTCCAGACCCTTAGACTTCCTTATCACACAGTCCCTGATGTCGCAGCCATGAGTCAGGTCCCTGGGTCCCTGCCCCCTCACCTCTTTAGGAAGAGTCTCTGAACCCCAGCTCCCCTCATATCCCTATGCCATACCAACCCTGGGGGACCCCAGGAGTGAAGACGCTGGCCCCTACCTTTGAGGAGCCACCAGGAGACCAGTATTTGCAGGACCACTTAATGGGGGGGGGGCACTGGGTGTTCTGGGGCTCCAAGCAGGCAAAGCTTGGGCTGCCTAAGTGCTCTCCAGGTGGCAGGGGCCCCAGGGCAGGTCCCTCTGGAGGCGCAAGCTGAGTGAGCAAAGCCTAGAGTTGTGAAATTTGCTGAGCACTCAGGGAAGGGGGTACAGTGAGTGACTTGTAGCCGGAGCAGCAGGGAGGCAGCTGGACCAGCACAGACAGGCCTCGGACACCAGGCTGAGGAGCCACAGCACCCCCAGTGCAGGCCTTCCCTGCAGACCTCTGTCTGCCCTGCCCCCAAGCTCCCTGGCTGGTGTGGTGGCCTCACAAGGGGTCAGACCCCTCAGTCACTGCTCTGAGCTCAGCCGTGCACCCGCTGGCCAGTGCTGCCAGGAATTCCCTTCCTCCTGCCCACCAAATGTGTGGCCATTTCCCTTTCCTCCTAAGAAAGTCCCTGTCCCAGAGCCCGAGCCCTGCCGGGAATCCGAGTCTCAGGCTAGCCCCAGGGGCCTCCAGGCCATGGCCAGGAGCTTTGGGGCAGAACAAGTAGGGCCAGGCACAGAGTGGCTGTGGAGCCCTGCCAGCTCGCCTTAGCCTAACCCCACAGCCTTGTCCCTTTTACCCGCACCTGGGAACAATAAGCCCTGTTCTGAGACAGGGGCTCAGAGCCCTGCTCTGGAAAGTCTAGTCTGAAGTAAGAGACCAGCATTTTTTTTTTTTTTTAATGAACTAGAATAGAATAGAAAATATCACACTCCATCACACACAGGAAGGGTAAATATTGTCTGGTGAGACATTTGTTTCAAAGGTTATTTTTACCTATACATGTGTGTCCTGGGCCACAATGTCAAATATATTTCTTACTACGGGTCAAGGACAAAAGTGTGAAAACCACAGATCCGGTTGGCGTACTGGGCAGAGGGCAGCCCAGGCTGGGGGGAGGAGGGTGTCACCCCTTGGGCTTGGAAGGAGATTCATGTCAATCCCAGTTCTGTCCCTGACTTGCTGTGTGACTGTAGGAGGAGATCCCTCTGTTTTCCAGGAACTCCTCCGTCAACTTCAGTCTGTGAAATGGGATTGGAAACCTCTGTGCCAGGGCGGCCACAGCAGTCAAGCTGAGGGCCGCTCTGACCCCTGGGAGTGAGAAGGGGATTAGCAGGGGTGTCGGAAGGCTGTGGGGCCACTGTCTCACTGTCCTTCCAGGCTTCCAGGCCCAAGGTCAGCATCCCCCTCTCAGCCATCATCGAGGTCCGTACCACCATGCCCCTGGAGATGCCAGAGAAAGACAACACATTCGTGCTCAAGGTGAGGCCCCACCCAGCCCTGAGGAGCCTCTGGCTACCCCAGGCCACCTCCCTCGTAGGTGGTACAACTTGAGGTCACCACAGGGGCAGTGAGGGTAAGGGGGCTAATGTCAGGCCCCAGAGCCTGGCCAGGAGCAGGCCAAGGAGAGGGTGCCCTGATGATGTCCTGGGCCCCTAGACAGATATCTAGCACGCAGCTAGGTCTGGGCTCCAGACCCCGGTGCCCTGGCTGTTGCCCAACATCTGGACCCCTTGTTCCCTCCTCCTGGGCCTGGGTGAAGCTCATCGGAGTTTCACTTCCACCCTCCCCTTCTGGAGCCAGCACACGCCCATCCCACTGGTGGCCAGCCTGCAGCAGTTATGCAAATGTTCCCGTCATTGCAGGGCACTGGAGTGTGGGAACCAGCCCAGTCCCATGGAGGGCACAAAGGCACGGAGGGTGGGCAGGGAGGCACCCTGGTGGGTCTGGGGGCAGCCTGTCCTTTTCCCAGGCCCCACTCACTGGGGTGGCCTGCTGGGCTTACTGAGGACAGGGCTCCAGGCTGCTAGGGCTGTGGTGCTCGTGCTTCCTCAAAGGATCAGAGAGAGTGTGTGTGGCAGTCCCCACTCGAAGCTGTGTGAGGCCCCCACCCTCTTTTCCAGGCTCCCAGCTGGGTTTGCGTTTTTATCCTATTTGTTTAGTCACGAGCTCACTTATTCATTTAGCAAACATTTGCCAGCTCCATACCCTGAGTCAGCCCAGACTGGGGGCTGAGGACACAGTCCCCAGCCACCTGGCCTTCACCTCCTGGGTGGCCACTGAGCTGTGCATTATGCTTGAGAGCCTTGAGGCAGAGGGGCCCAGCTGCCAACCCCACCCTCAGTTTTCCCATCCATTCAGAGAATGGTTAAGGGTGTTCTCCAGGGCCTGAGGACCTGAGGTCAGAGGGCTGGACGTCACCCCTGGGGGGGTCCAGGAGGGAGGGGCTGCTGAGGATGTGAGCTGAGCTGCAGGCTGTGCCCCTGGCCTGAGTTTGGAATGATGCCTAACGATGACCCACCTGTCTTCCCATTGCTCATGCCTGCAAGCCCTGGTGGGTGACGGCTAGGATGAGCCATTCTGGCCATTTGCTCTGGGGGCTGGAGCCCCCCTGCCGAGCGTGGAGGGGGAGGTTGGAGGGCCAACTGTGATCTGAACACCCTGCCACCCTCCTCCCCAGGTGGAGAACGGGGCCGAGTACATCCTGGAGACCATTGACTCACTGCAGAAGCACTCGTGGGTAGCTGACATCCAGGGCTGCGTGGACCCTGGGTGAGTACCCAGGTGGCCTTAGGATGGGTGGACAGGCTGGCTGTACCCTTGGTCCAGCCTCACTAGCAGGGCAGGTGCTGACCTTGAGAAACGGGCTTTTCTCATTGCAGTCCAAGCCAGGTTGGTGCCAGCCAGGGTCACCTACACCCTTATCCCCAGCAGGCTCTCTAAGGTCTGCTCTCCAGGCCCAGGGCCAGGGGACCTGGAAAGAAGTTGACCCAAGTGTTGTCCTCACCCCAGGGGAACCTCAGACCACTAGGAGATGGGCATGAATCCAAGGGGCTGGGGACAGGCCCCTAACCCAAGGCTGGGCTCAGGGAAGGCCTGCTGGTAGCAGTGCTCACCTAACCCGAGACTTAAATATAAAGAGTGGAGCTGAGCCAGGCAGAGGGGGTGGGGAGGGCAGAGAGAACAGCTTAGCAAATGGTGTGGAAGTGTACAAGGGCCTGGACTTGCAGGGAACATGAAGGCCTTCGGGGTAGCTGGTAAGGAGGGATTTTAATGAGAGCCCAGGAAGCTGGTAGGTCGGGCCATGGGAGCCATGGCTGGTAATAAGCAGAGGGCAGTTACGGTCAGCAGTGTACAGGAAGAGCAGCAGGGAGGCTGGCGCCATGGTCCAGGAGCGATCCCAGGCTGGGAGTTGCAGGAACAGGATGGCCAGCAGGCTGAGCATTTGGCAGCAGCTCTTCTGGCTAATGGGGTGAGCCAAGCCCGGGGGGAGGGGCCACTGCTTCCTAATTAACAGCTTCATTTAAGGAAGCACAATTAAGATCCCAAGCGCCTCCCAGGCCCTGATCCCCAAAGTGGCTGTAATCCCTCCTCTGCCACCCTCCCAACCATCTGCTCTGCAAACGCTTTCCCCGGCCCCTGTGAAGGTGAACCTCACTTTGCAGAATTTTAGAGCTGGCAAGGTCCCAGACACCTTGTGTCACAGATGGGGAGACAAAGGCCCCAGGCAGGGAAGGAAGCTGCCCAGGCCTGGCCCCCGACCACACCTTCCCTCCATTTGAAGGTCTCCATGGGATCCCAGGAGGAGGCCAGCCCCTCGGGGTTAGTGAGCAGGGGTCATATGGCTTCCAGGGGAACTGTACCCACAGCAGCATGGAGCCAAAGAGACCCCAGGTGAGCAGAGGGCAGGATAGGGCTGATGCTGGTTGTGAGACCACCAGCCACCGCCTGGCTCCATAAGCTGCCTGTGGTCCAGGTCCAAGTCCCCATGTCAGAACATGGTTGTGCCTTCTCACCTCCACAGTGACAGTGAGGAAGACGCCGAACTCTCCTGTGCCCGGGGAGGCTGTCTAGCCAGCCGTGTGGCCTCCTGCAGCTGTGAGCTGCTGACAGATGGTAGGTGGCGGCAGAGCTGGCCAGAGCAGTGGGGGACAGGGCTGGAGGTGGCGGACAGATACGGGAACGTGCTTCTTACCTGTCACTTCCCCAGCAGCAGATGTGCCCCGGCCCCCAGAGACAACAGCAGCCATGGGTGCCGTGGTGACAGCCCCGCACAGCCGAGCTCGAGATACGGTCGGAGAGTCCCTGATCCACATCCCGCTAGAGACCTTCCTACAGACCCTGGAATCCCCGGGTGGCAGCGGCAGTGACAGCAATAACACAGGTGCCGGTGGGGGCAGCCTGTTCCCCCTGTCCTCTCCTGGCCTCCCTACGAAGTCCTTGCTGAGCCTTAGAAGCTGTGACGTCGCATCCAACCAACCAGGTCCTTCACTGGACTCCACAGTTCTGGATTTCGTAGGCCAGCTGGGAACCCGGCCCTTCCCACTGGACCTGGTTTCAGTAGAAAATGCTCCCAGAAGGGGGTGAAGCCAGGGTCAGGACCAGGTGACTGGAGTTATAGCTGACTTACAGAGTGACCCCAGGATAGTCCATCCCCTGTCTGTGCCTCACTTTACCTCATATGCTTAACTAGTGGGTTGGGTCAGCACCCTGCCTAGTTATGCAAGTATTCAAACAGCGTTTGCCACATAAAATACCAACAAGATGTTGCTTCTCTTCTCTCGTTTGCTTATTTGTCCCTCTCACATTGTCATCCTCCCAGGGGAGGAGGGAACAGAGCCAGATCCTGAGGTCGAGGCCGAGCCGGAGCTCTCCGACTACCCCTGGTTCCACGGGACGCTGTCACGGGTCAAGGCAGCGCAGCTGGTGCTGGCGGGCGGGCCCCGGAGCCATGGCCTCTTCGTGATCCGCCAAAGCGAGACTCGGCCTGGGGAGTACGTGCTGACCTTCAACTTCCAGGGCAAGGCCAAGGCAAGGATGCATGGGGGGCCACGGGGTTGGAGCAGCTAGCCCTGGGGACAGGGGCTGAGGTGGCCCTGGCCTGAGGCTGTGCCCGGGCAGGTTGTACATGCACAGGTTTGACACAACTTCCCCCTAGGCCTGGCCCACCCAGGCCATACTCCTTGAATGACCTGCGTCCCTCCCCCACCTCTGAGGGGCTGCAGGAAGCCACCTGCTGGCAGTTAAGCCCACAGGAGACCGTGCCCTTCTACTGACCTGACTTTGCAAGTCCCTTTGGCCCTTAGGCCTCAGGGGTCCCATAGCTCTGGGCCTTCTGAGGGTTTCCACCCAGAACCACGTCAGTGCCAGGCTGGGCTCAGCTGAGGCCCTCAGAGCCCTACCCACCCCCAGGAACCCCTCTTCTTCCCTGCTAAGGCCAGGCCACCAAACCCTCTGTGCTCAGACAGGGACACGGATGGGAAGCACACACAGGTGGGCAGGCCTGGGGGGTCAGTGATGGAGAGGGACACTAATCTGATGTGCAGGGGAGGACCTGTTGAAGACAGGAGGGAAGGTCCTGTCATCCAGACAGGACCCAGCCTGAGCAGAGGTATGACGGTTTGCCCAGACCGCCAACTCTCAAGGAAGGGAATTGCGTGCTGTAACGACCTAAAGTGCAAAGGAAAATATGACAGAAAAGTCAAACAATTACATGGGGACAGTGTGGCCAGAGAGGGCAGGAACCTCAGTGCCCCCCCCCCATGCCATGTTTCCCATAAGGAAACAGACCCAGCCCAGGCTCCTTCCAGGATGCGCTTTCCCGTCAGCCTAGGCTTAGGGGGGGGGGCACCCCAGGATTCCCGCTCCGGACCCGCAGCTGGTGGGCAGTGTCTGTGGGCTCCCCTAACCCCCAGCTGGTGCAGCACAGGCCCTCCAGTGGCTCTCTGGGCGTCTCTCCTTGGCAGCACTGCCCCACTGTGGAGCGGGTAGCACCTCCCCTGGGACACCTCCTTGGCAAGCAGCCACCCTTACCAGTTCTTCCAACAACCAGGCACTTAACGCCATCCCTGGTGGCTCACACTTTACTCCTTGGCCAGCACCGCCCCAGGCAGCCTCTCCGGAGGGCCTGGATCCGACTCGTGCCCAGCCAGCCCACCATAGTGTGCAGGGGGAGGCCCCCCTCCTTCCTGGGACAAGACCCAGCCTTGAACTTCACCTCTCAGCCTGGCCCCTATTCTCCCAGCATGGAGGTGACTGCCCAAGGCCCAATAAGTTAGTGGTAGGGTAGAGCAGGAACCTCAGCCGCCTCCTTACACACCTGGGAAGGAAGATCACTACCTTCCCAGAAGCAACTCTTTTCACTTTCAGACTGGGAGGTTTTCCAGAAGACTGGGATGTACTGGCCTTGTTTCCACACACCCCTGGGCCCAGATACATATGAGGCTGTGGTAGGACCCCACTAGGCTGCTCTTCTCAGGCTAAGTCCCTGTTCTGGGCCACATGTGATGCCCACAGCACTGCTCTCAGTGTTCCTGGTGGCTTCTTGCCCTGCTGGGTGGCAGAACTCACACTGGGACCACCGCCCCTGCCCCAGGGATCCTCTGTCCTTTATGTGGTAGGCAGCGAGGCCAGCTCCCCCTATGCTTTAGGCCATGTGCATATCCTCAAACCCCTCCCACTACCTTCCCTATTGCCATACACACCTGAGATAGTCAGCTTTCTTCTTGTGGGATGCCTGTTGAGCAAAACATGGCTGAGCCAGTGGCTTGCCACTAGAGACCACAGGCCTGTGGCCTCTTGCCCTACGGCAGGTGCCTCATGCGGGCCCTGGAGCCCTAGGGAGGCGCATGCTCCATAGCCGCACAGGTAAGGAGCACGTGCAGTCATTCCTCCCCCCCACCTGTCTCTGGGTGCTTCCCACCCCTCTGGGCTTTGGCTCTGCAGGGCCAGAGGGCAGACCCCCTGGTCTCCCCTGCTGGGGGAATCACACAATAGGAGTTCTCTTCCCAGCTCTGTGCTGATAAGAAAGTCACTCTCCCTCCCTGAGCCTTGGTTTCCCCATCTCGAATATGGGGACAGTAATTCCTACCTTCCGGGGTGTCGGGGGGCTAAAGACAGGTGCAAATAGGCCCATAGGCCCATAGTGTGAGTGTTCCCAGTGTCGGGGCAAATGTCTGCTCCCTTCTGTCATGGCTCTGTTCCCCCCCAAGATGGGGTTTCACACGTAAGGGGCCCAGATCTGACTCAGCCCCCTGTGGCCTCTATGAGATTCAGTCATCCCAAAGGACCCCACCACTGACCATGCCCACCTGTGTCCACAGCACCTGCGCCTGTCCCTGAACGGCCACGGCCAGTGCCACGTACAGCACCTGTGGTTCCAGTCCGTGCTTGACATGCTCCGCCACTTCCACACGCACCCCATCCCGCTGGAGTCAGGGGGCTCTGCTGACATCACCCTACGCAGCTATGTGCGGGCCCAGGGCCCCCCACCTGGTAAGACGCCCCCCTCTGGCAGGTGTGACTGCCCAAGAAGACAGGCGGGTGCCATCCAGCAGGGCTAGCCGAGTGGGGTGGGCACCAGATCACCTGGCCCATGGTCAGGCGTGCCCTCCCCTTCCCCAGCCCTGTAGTCAGGGCATCAGGAATGGGGGCCGAAGTAGGGCCCACAGCCAGTGGTTCCTGGCTCGGGGAGGGGGGCGCTGTTGAATAGCGGGGCTCAGTGCAGAGCTGTGGGGAAAGGCCGCATGGGCAGGTGCGTGAGGCTGTCCAGCAAGGGGACAGCTATGCAAGTAAGTGCAGGTGGCCGCCTCATTAGTCACCCAAGGTGGTGGGCTACAATGGGGAACCCTAGCCTCCGGCCCTGGTGGGACCCTGGGCTCTGCGCCCCCTCGGGCCTTCCTGCGCCCCGTGTCAGTGTCCCATCGCCTCCGTTGCAGAGCCAGGCCCTGCACCCAGCACCGCACCCGCCGCCTGCTGGAGCGAGCCAGCCAGCCAGCACTACTTCGCCAGCCTCGCCGCCCCCTGCCCGCCAGCCTCACCCTCCGACGCCGCCGCAGCCTCCTCATCGTCCACCTCGTCGTCCTCCGCCGCGTCGGGCCCCGCACCCCCGCGCCCCGCAGACGGCCCGCTCATGGCACGCGGCCGCAGCGACAGCGCCGAGCGCCTGCTGGAGGCCACGGCCGGTGGTGCGGATGAGCCCCCGGAGGCGGCCGGGGGCCGCACGCGCGCCGTCGAGAACCAGTACTCCTTCTACTAGCGCCCGCCGCGCTGGGGGGGAGACGCCAAGCTCTTCAGTGAAGACATAATGTTATTAAAGAGCCTGTTTTAGGGACTGCACCTGGCCCTCCTGTCGTCCTTCCTCCCACTCTGGCCTCGGGCACCCCGGGGAAGGCAGGTCCTCCCGTTCAGGGCCTGCAGGGGAGCCACGCGCTTGGCTCCCTTGAGCCCAGCGTGGCCTGGCGTCTGCCCGGCCTCTACCCAGCTCCTACTTGGGGGGAGGCTGCCTGCTGGGCGTCGGGCAACACCTGAATGAGGACCCAGCAGCACGGGCTGTCTGCCCAGGGGTCAGACTGGGAAGAGAGCCCAAGTCACAGGACCTTTAATGCCAGGATGAGTAGTTGGGCCCTGGCTGGGAGAGTTAGGGTGTCCTTGGTTAAGTCAGTGAAGTCTGGCAGTGCAGACAGGGAGGCGGGCAGGATGTCTCCACATGAGCCCCTGGGGGGATTGGGTAATGGGAAAGGCTGCAGTTCCCAGCTCTGACATAGACACCCCCCCACCCGCACTCGCTGCCTACAGACAAGAGTCCAGCTGTGGCTCCCATGTCCCCAGGCCCTGGCAACACGTCCTGCTCACCTTCCCAGCTCTCCAGACTTCAGGCGGTGCTCCCTCTGAGAAAGATCTTGTTCCTGCTGAGCCAAAGCCCACCTCCCCTCCCCCAGTCCAACTCCACCCCCCAACCTGGGGCCACAGACCCACCCTCCCCCTGCCCAGGATTGGCCCCCTTAGGGCTTGGTCCAATGATGTATGTTTCAGACTCCCAGACAGCTAAACCCCTGGGGCTACAATGGAGGCACCCATAACCCCTTCCCCATAAAAGGGACACTAGCACCCTGAGGTGCCTCCCAGGGCTTTGCTGCTCCAGCTACTGTCCCCACATACAAACTTACCAGGAAGTGATGGAGCAGCACCTCCTGCTGCTCAAGAGAACATCCTGCTTCCTTGGCTTCCAGCATCTCCATTCAGTTGTCGCAGGAGCCCCTCTGCCCCTTGCCCTGTGGTTTGGGGTCTATGCCAGGCCAACTGCAAGCCCCCATCCCACTCCAGCAGGAACAGAGGGGCCTCTGGGGTGAAGTGTGGGCTGGGCAGAGGACCGGAGCTTTGTTTTGCTGCGTGGGTTCAGATGGCACCACCTCCAAGCCTGACACTTCATCCTTGCCCCTAAGGGGATGTGCCCTGTGGAAGGGCTCAGAGGTGGCCTCCAGGGTGGACTTATGATTTGAACACAGTGTGCTAACCTTCAGGCCCTTTTGTCCGTCCCTTCTGATACAGTCGGCCGCTTTGGAGGACACTACATGCTGAGTGTCAAAACGGAATCTGGGCATAGAAGTAGACAAAAGGGACAGATGGCTGTTGCCCTCACTGAGTGGGGGGCCAAGAGTACGAGACGTTGGGAGTGAGTCTGTGCCCACCCTAGGGGCAGCGGTCAGGCACTGTACCTGCAATGTTCCCAGGTTACAGTGAATTCAGGGGAGAATGGTGGGAGATGATGACAAGGTGACTCCCTGGGTTCTCCCTAGGGAAATGGCAGGAAGGCCCCACAGCAGCAGGTCAGTGAAAAGGGAGCTCTCCCCACAGTGTGGCCACCAGGGTCAGAGTCTTAGGCCTGTCACTCAACATGGCACTTCCAAAAAGCCCAGACGTAGTGGGGCACTGGTGAAACCACAGCAATAGCACAAATGGCAGTGGCATTTTCAGGGCGGTTTCATTTGCTCCTCAATAAGCATTTCAGATGCCCACTCTGTGCCAGGCCAGGCCCATGGGGTAACTGGATGGGCAGCCAAGCACACCCAGTGACAGAGGGATGGGCCGAGGGCTGGGACTACAGGTGTCCTTGCTAACTGCGATGGCGCTGGGGGTGGGGGGAGATATGCAGGTACAAGGGGCAGCAGGATGGTAATAGCCTTGAGTGCCAGGCCAGGTGGTTTGGTTTGAAATGGAAGGCGCCAAGAAGCCAGTGACAGAAGCGGGACCTAGGATCACCCTGGGGCCAGAGGGTGGGGACGAGGATGGATTGGAGGGGTGCCAGAGGGCCAGGGTGGCTGCAGTAAGTCTGGGCAAGGGGCGAGGGCTGGGCTGGGGTGGCAGAGGAAGAGGAGGAGGCAGAAGAGGAGGAGGAAGAAGAGGAGAACAGTGATTGAGGAAAGCTCATGGGTAGAAAGGCTGGGGGTGGGGTGGGGAAGGATGGCTCAGGGGATGTCGCTTGGTGGAGAGGCTGTCCCTGTGGGACCCACTTGGATAGCTCCACCAAGAGGGGCTGCAGAGAACATGGAATCTAATCACTGTGCCTAGAAGAGGGGGAGAGATCCTGCTGTCTCCAACAAGGGACTCCCAGGGTCTGGCATCCTCTTTCTAGCCCAGCATCACAGCTGTGCAACACCTGGCTGTCAGAGGTCCCAGCTTCTCCCCCAGGTAAGAGATGGGGTTAGGCATCTCCCTACATGAGCCACAGAAGGGTAATTTTGGCTACTTACGTCTCCAAGGTGAAGAGCTCAGGCACTACCATTGCTATGCTTTCCTGGGCGGGAAGCTGGGTGCTGGGCCCACAGGCAGGTCCACTCTGAGGTTGTGGTGGGCCCACTGAGTTTGACTGAGGGTGCACTAGACTCAGAGGGCTCCAAGTTGAACCAAGGGTGCAGGGTCTCTCTGGGAAGGCGCCCAGGCCTAACGGCATGGGTCCTGCCTTGGTGGTCCTCCAGCCAAAGCAATAAGTGGGAAAAATGTGTATGCCCTGCCTTCCGACGTGAGGCTAAGCTTGCTCCAAGTAGTTCATTCCCAAGGATCAAGGTACACCTGCTGGAGGAGGGGAGAGGGCCATACCTGTCCCTGCCCCATCAAAACGGAATCGGCCATTTTCTGGCCCGAAGTTAGCAATTTCCTTCAGAAATGGAATTGGCATATCAGGGATGATTGAAATAAACAGTTCCCACTGTGGGCACTTTTATACTTCTTTTTCTTTTTTGTTTTTTTAGTATTATGAGGCTCCACTTTCACAGCCTGTATTCTTACTGAAAACCAAGTTCAAGAAAGGTTTTGCCTGTCTGCTCCACGGGAGGTTTCTGTCCTCCCTGAGCTGACCTTAGCCTCTGGTGGGCACTTCTAACTGAGGCAAGTTCGAGCCCCTCTGGGATAGAAGAAATAAATTTTCTCAGACCTAGTGGGGCTCTTCTATGCCTACTACCAAGTGACAGAAAGCGATGCATCAATGCAAATTTTGAGTAATTAATTTCAATCATTCTCCCAAAATCCTTTAAAAAGGAAAAAAGGCTGGGCAAGGTAGCTCACGCCTGTACTCCTAGCACTCTGGGAGGCCAAGGCGGGAGGATCTCTTGAGCTTAAGAGTTCAAGACCAGCCTGAGCAAAAGCGAGACACCCTCTGTACTAAAAATAGAAATAAATTAGCTGGACAACTAAAAATATATAGAAAAAATTAGCCAGTCATACTGGCACGCCTGTAGTCCCAGCTACTCAGGAGGCTGAGGCAGGAAGATCACTTGACAGGAGTTGGAGGTTGCTGTGAGCTATGATGATGGCACTCTAGCCCAGGGAGACAGAGCAAGACTCTGTCTCAAAAATGAATGAATAAATAAAAAGAATAAATTTTAAAAGATGCATCTGCCGTCCTGCGGGTAGGAGGCTTTCTGCACTGCCCACTCTCCCCAGAAAGCTCTAGGTTGGGGGTTTCTAATCTCTTTTGTGCCTCAGGCTCCCCAGCACTCTGGGGAAGTCTCTAATGCCCTGCTCAAATAATGTTTAAAATGCATGAAATAAAATGCGTAGACTTGCAAAGGAAACCAATTATACTGAAATTCAGCCCAAATATTAAATACAATCCAAAAGCAATCAAAATATTTTTTTACATTTGTGATATGGTAATGTACATGCATGCTTTATTAACACTTTAAATAGCACGCCCTAACAGCCACTCTCATAACTACTATAATTTCGAAGTATGATGAGTATAAATGATACTTCAGAGTTTCTGCAGCAACCTAGATGTGCTGTGAAAAGATCCCTGATTTCTACTGGTGGCAACGTGACAGCTGCCACTAACACTGCCACGGTTTCTCCTTACATGAAAGAAATGTAATTTTTCAGTTAGAGGTTAATTAAAATACAGGCGTAATCTTATTCTCATTCAAGTTTATGAACGTCTTGAATTTTATCTGTGAATCATCCCAGGGCCTCAGGTCAACAGCCTTGCTCTAAAGAGTGGAGACACATGCAATATTTGAAATCAAGCATTCAGAAATGGCAGAGGGACAACAGTGTGATGAGGAATTCACCGCCCACCATCAAAAAAGTGCTCAGCTGGTCCCCAACCTGACAGCGTACAGCATAAGCTAACCTCCTGATTCTATCGGGGGTAGGGGAGTTCGGGTGTTTTGGGGTTTTTAATTTATTTTAGAGATAGGTTCTGACTCTGTCACCCAGGCTGGAGTGCAGTGACACAATCATACCTCACTGTAACCTCAAACTCCTGGGCTCAAGTGATTCTCCCACCTCAGCCTCATGAGTAGCTAACACAACAGGCACGTACCACCACTCCGGGCTAAAAAACTTTTACCATTTCTAGGATAATCCATGGATCCCAATATTTAAAATTGAAATGGCTTTGCAAGACCCCAATAAAGTATAATTATACATTAGGCTGATTTATAAATTGCTAATTTTAATGTTTTAATAATGATATTTATGGAAAAACATAATCTTACTGGAGTTGAGCTAAATTGAGATAAAATAGAAGGGGGCAAGATCCCCAAAACAGTGGTTTATCAGCAAGTTCTCCTCTAAGGCTGAGATCAGATTGGGAGGAGGGCATCTTTTTGGGTTGCTTTAAAATCTTACCTGGAAGTCATGGCTGTAGCCATGAGCCTCCAAGGTAGCAAGATCAAGGCCCAAAATTTTATAAGAAAACATGACTTTTAAGAGTGTTGTTTGGTTATAAAAGATAATTAATAAATATATGCTATAATAGAACAGGCTAAAGACCTCCTTATGTGAGCTGAATATTTTTATGTATTTATTAATGACTCACTTATCTGTAGTAAATGTAATTTTTATTTCCTCTCTGAGGTAATGGTGCAGTTACTTTTTGTTACTATTTTTATTTTTATTTATTTATTTATTTTTGAGACACAGTCTCACTCTGTTGCCCAGGCTAGAGTGCCGTGGCCTCACCCTAGCTCACGGCAACCTCAAACTCCTGAGCTCAAGCAATTCTCCTGCCTCAGCCTCCCAAGTAGCTGGGACTACAGGCAAGCACCACCACACTTGGCTAATTTTTTCTATTTTTAGTAGAGATAAGGTATCACTCTTGCTGAGGCTAGTCTCGAACTCCTGACCTCAAGCAATCCTCCTGCCTCGGCCTCCCAGAGTGCTAGGACTACAGAAGTGAGCCACTGTGCCCAGCCTGTGATGGTACAGTTACTACGTATGCAACATGAGGAGTGCAGCATGACATATTTCATTCATGAAAAGATTTTGACGTTTGCACCAAAGTTAAGATAGTGTACAGTATCTGTTCTAGTTATATATCTGTTCTGGTTATTACTGCTAAATAAATCAGCTCAAAATTTATTAACGTACAGCAAAAACAATCATTTTGTTCTCTCTCTTAGTTATGTGGGTCAGAATTCAGGAAAGGGTCTGCTGGGTAGTTCTGGC